TGGACACTGAGCCCTTTTCCCTGCTAGTGAATGCTCATCTCCTTCCCTGGATACTGACTCCCATCCCTGGACACTGAGCCATCCTCCCTGTCCCTGAGCCTTCATCTCTTTCATTAAGTCCCTTCTCCAACAATGAACCCACCTGCCCAGCACTAAGCCCCTAATAACTATCATTTCGTTTACCAGTCCAAAGGCAGAAACTGAAAACTGCTTTGAATTGAGGTAATGTGCAGGTCACCAAAGTCCCCAACACCATCCCTAGCCCAATACCACAAGCGCCTTCACCTTTGGGTACTTAACCAAGTCCAAGCCCATATGGAGGCTGCCCCTAGCATGACTTCACATGTCTTCAGTTCAGGCTCTTCTGACCTGGCCTCCTCTCTCTAATGGCTGCCCAGAGTTGAGTGATCTCCCCTTTTCTCTCCTTACCTGACATGACCACAAGTCTGGACTAGCACTATTTACAGGCTGCCTTTTCCTACCTGACGTTCGGGTGTCCATCCCCAGCCAGGGTTGGCCCCAAGCAGGGCCAGCTTGCTCCCCAAGCCCAGCCATGTCCACTTCTGCCTGAGGCAGCCACCTCCCCTCTCCCCATGGCTGGGCCAGGCAGGCATGGAGGCATGGGTGGTTCCTCATTCCCAGGTCCCCATTGGCCTCTGTCTCTTGATTGGCAGTCCTAAGAAACCTGTGGGGGAGCGGTGGGGGCACCAACCCCTATCTCAGCTCTCAAACCAGCCCCCTTCCCCTGTGCTATGGACTCTAGGGAGCCGAGGCTCTGACTTGAGAGAGAGAGAGGGTTTTTCCATCTCAGATTTAGACTAATTCCTCTTGTGTCCAGACTGTGCTCTCCTTCTGAGCTCTACTCCCTTGTAACGGGCCCCAGTCTTGAGCACCAAGTTCCTATCCAGGGCATTGATGTCCTATCCCCACACTGAGCCCCCATTCCCAACCCTAAATCTTTATTTCTGACACTGAGTTCCCATCCCTGATACTGAACCCCTCTCCCTAACACTGAATCTCCATCCCTGGTACTGAACCTTTATCTCTAGCACTGAACCATTCACAACATTGAGCTCTCACCCTTAGCACTACACTGCCCTGTCTGAAGCTGGGCCCCTATCACTTGCAGTGAGCCTGTATCTCCAGCCTTGGGCCCCCAGCCTTAACACAGAGCCCCCCATCCTCAGCCCTGAGCCCTCATCCTTGGCACTGGGCCCCCCTCCTCAGCCCTAGCACCAAACCCTCATCCTCAGCCCTGAGCCCTCATCCCTATCACTGGGCCCCCATCCTCAGCCCTGAGCTGCCATCCTCAGCCCTAGTGCCAAACCCTCACCCTCAGCCCTGAGCCCTCATTCCTAGCACTAAGCTCCTATCCTCATCCCTAGCACCAAGTCCTCATCCTCAGCCCTGAGCCGCCATCCTCAGCCCTAGTACTGGGCCCCCATCCTCAGCCCTGGCACTGGGCCCATCCCCAATACTTAGACCCCATACCTATCAATGAAGTCCTAGCCCATCCCTGACTCTAACTCCCTCCTTGACACTGGACTGTCCGTAGTACTGAACCTTCATCCCCAGCATTAAACCCCCATTCCTTGCAGTGAACAACACTGACTTGTCACACCTTCACACGACAGGTTTGGAGCTTCTCTTTCATGAAGCCACTGGAGGCTCAGGAGAGATATATGCAGACACCTTTAGGGCCCCAGTGAGGGCCCTTTGCTGCAGCCATGGTCATTCTGCAGGACATCCCCCTCCCCCACGGTGGTTCCCGGCCTTGGGCCTGGCTCCAGCTCTCCTGGCCCCCCTCACCTGAAATGTCCATGAAGTCGTCCAGGCTGGGCTGCAGGGGGGTCAGGTCTGGTTGGATCATGTCAGCATTGCCAATGTAGGCTGGGGGGGGGAGGGCGGAGGCAGTGTCAGGAGAGGCTGGAGGATGAATGGACTGCTAGGCCATCCATGCCCACCTTCACACTCTCATGGCCTCATGTTGGGGGCTCCCCTAGTCCCCTCCCAGGGTTCTGACAGAATCATAGAAGCCCAGGGCAAGAAGGGGCCTCAGAGGCCCCCTAGTGCAAGCTACTGCTGACCAAGAATTCTCTCTCTACTGTCGTTCACCAGGGGTTGTCCGGTCTGTGTGAAGACCACCAGGGAGGGAGGTCGTGGGTTCCTCCTCATTAGCATCCTTCAGACATAGGAGTCTTGGTCAGGTATGAGTCAGACTAGGTGACCTTTGAGGCCCCTCCCGTCCCTGGGTGTGATCCCATGAGGACCCACCACCCTTGCGGGGGGGCCCATTCACTCCTTTTGGGCAGCTGGGATGTTAGATGTTTTCCGGACAACAAGCTTACATTGGGCTCTTCTCTCCTGGTTCTGCCCTTTGGGGCTCAGCAGGACGAGCCCAGTTCTACCGCCCTATCTTTCAAGACAGCGGGTGTGTCATCCTCTCTTCCGGCCCCTGCTATGTCTTCTCTATGCTAAACATCTTTCAGTTCTCCTTCAGTAACATCTCATCCCTTTCTGCAGTGGAGAGATTTTCCAATCTACTCAGTGCTGGTCACTCCTAAATCCTCTGACCAGGGTCCCTAAGGCCTTCCAACCCCTCTCTGCCAAGGTCTCTTCTAGGGGGTGGCCCCAGATTTTCTCCTATGAGATTTTTCTCCTTCCTCCCACTGTCATTTTAGAGGTCATCTAATTCAACCCCCTCATTACAGATGAGGAAACTGAGGCATAGATACCCTACATCCAGCTGAGAGGCTGTCTACAGCAGAAAGAGCACTGGATTTGGAGTCTGGGGACCTGGGTTCAAATCCTGGCTCTGCCACTCATCACCTGTGTGACTTTGGGCAAGTCACTACAATGCCCTGGACCTCAGTTTCCTCATCTGTGAAATGGGGGGGGGGGGGA